ATGTCTAACTGCCAGCTTATACCCAATCCCCCAGGGAGCAGGCCTATGCCAGCAGGTGGTCATCCCCCAAGGGGTCCCAGACTGCGAGAGGGCACAGGCCTGGCTGAGGGACCCTCCCGAGTGCACAAATTTTTGTGCACCGGGCCTCTAGTATATATATATATAAAAGCCCAATGACTGGAATGGCATAACAACCAGAACGACTGGTGGCTATGATGCGCGCTGCAGCAGCCAACCAACCTGATCAGGGCCCTGATCGCCCCCAAGAGAACATTACACAGACACACACACACACACACACACACACACACTGGAATGTTACTCAGCCATAAAAAAGGAAACCCTGACATTTGCAACATGGATAAACCTTAAAGGCATTAGGATAAGTAAAATCAGGCAGAAAGGCAAATACTGTATGATCTCACTGATATATGGAATCTTCAAACAAAAACAACAAAAACCAAACTCATGTATACAAAGAACAGATAAGTGATTGTGTTTTGTTACTTTAAATATACCTTGTTTTATGTTTGCTTTTGAGAGTCTCTTCATATTTTACATAAGTATAAGACAAAATTCAACTTTAAAAAATCAATTCCTAAATATTGAAAGCAAAATAAAAAACAAAAGAACCAAAGTACACATCCAGTACTAGCAAAATCATAGAGCAATGAATCTGAGTAACTTTAATCACAGTAATTAGCCTACGTATCCCTAATAAGTATGCAAAAAAAACTCTTAAACTGTTTTTATTAGCTGGTGGTATAGTGTTCATATTGTCCTGAGACTGAGATGTATACAGTGTGGGATAAAACAATGAGTAATCAGAATCAAGATGTTTCTCTTAGAAGAAAAAGATACAGGTGTAAGATCAAGGAGGTTAAGTTGCACTGGCCCTGTGTTTCAGTTGGTTGGAGCATTATCCCTTATACCAGTGGTCGGCAAACTCATTAGTCAACAGAGCCAAATATCAACAGTACAACGATTGAAATTTCTTTTGAGAGCCAAATTTTTTAAACTTAAACTATATAGGTAGGTACATTGTTATTAACTTCATTAGGGTACTCCTCAATCTGATTGAGATACGTTCGCTGAGGTCGACCCCTTCCAACTCTCCCATCCACACTCGTCTTGTATACTTGTTTCGTCTATCTCCTTTCGTATATCCTCTCTATATGTCCAAACCATCTCAACATACCTAAAAAAATGTTTCATTTTATAATAATAAAGCCACCAACACAAAATAATTACAATTCTTAAATTGATGACAAAAATACCTGTAGGATTTGCAGCTGGTTGGAAAAATACAGGTAACTTTATGCTTCGAGTAGGTACTTTTGTCATCCGCGCGCGCGCGATTTGCGGACATGACTAGCACTAACCACTGCACAACGAGACTGCTGACTGACTGGCTCACTCAACTCGTGCATGAATCGCGCGCACCTCCCCAGCACTGCGTCCCCGACGGACCAACACACCCCACTTCTTCTAACGCCACTTCTTCAAAAGACTCGCCCAGGCCGAAAACCAACTTCTGCGCATGGGCCACGAAGTTTCAATCGCACTGTAAGTGCGCGTCCGCATGTGGTATTTTGTGGAAGAGCCACACTCAAGGGGCCTAGAGCTGCATGTGGCTCACAAGCCGCGGTTTGCAGACCACTGCCATATACCAAAAGGTTGCTGATTCAATACCTGGTCAGGGCATATACCTAGGTTGTGGGTTCCATCCCCCACATCAGAGCTCGTACACGGGGCAGCCAACAGATGTGTTTCTCTCACATCAATGTTTCCCCCTCTCTTTCTCCCTTTCCTTCCCTCCCTTCCACTCTCTCTAAAAATCAATGGAGAAACAACCTCACTCCTTGGGTGAGGATTTAAAAAAAAGGTTAAATAGAACTCTGTCTTCTTGCTTTACAACTGGAAGTATCAGAAACCCATGATCTGAAAAGACCATGAAACAATCAACCTAGTAGCAATGAACAAGTGAGCCCAGGGCCCAGATTGTGTTTAATAAATATGATTTTTCATTTGGAGAAATGGATGATTTCAGAGCTGGGATAGAAAATGTACAAGATGAGCCCAGTGCAGTCTGTCATACCAAAAAGGAGAGCACTCAGAAACTATTAGAGCTGTGTCTACAGGATTTAGGACCCAATTTGAACAGATTACTATTGGACAAAGATGGGATAATCTGAGTATCAATAAAGATAATACCTACAATGGATTCAATCATATCAAATATGCTTAAATTAATGAGTTCACAATAATACAAACACATACAACTCATTGGCTACTTCTGGAGGATGCCAACTCAGTATTATAAAAAAACTAGTAAATAATTGACAGAAATTAAGTATTTATTATTTATCCTGTCTTTCCTGAAAGAGCTATAATTTAAGGTAATGAAATTATAGAAGGGCAATGTCTCTTTTAGAAGCATTCCAGCTAATAAATGAGGTTAAAGAATTTATCCACATTTTCAATGCCTAATGAAATAATGACTAAGTTTGAGCTTCAAGGGCTGCTAACAAGAAGAAAAACTATTAATCCTCATCTGCCTAACTCACCTATGAAGTCTGTAGGAAGCGATTAAGCTTGACCTTATAGTCCTCCCTTGTTCCTTCCTTGGTAGCTAATGGGCTGGGGGAGATGCACCAAGTGCTGCCAAAACAAGATGAAATTCGCAAGAACACTGTAAACATGTTGACCACTTCCCTTGTTTTGCTTTGTGTGCTCTGACTAAAGCTTGGCTTACAGGCTGTCACTGTGTCCTAATCCAGTGAACCTACCTAGCCCCAACTGTGTTCTCTCTGTCTTCTTTAATCCTTCCCCGCCTCCCCCCCTCCCCCCTTCACCCCTGGCCGTGCTGGACACGGTTCAGAGTCTTCTTGCCAAAAGTATATCAATCATGACTCTGATTACACCTTTACATCTAACTGATTAAATTTACAGTAAATTTTGTGTAAACCACAATGCATAATAAAATCCAGACTATATGTAACTCCACAGGACAAACCATCAAGTTTCAGCAACAAACAAATTACAAGAGATAACAAAAGATGGAGGGGGAATAGATTAAAACAATGTATGGCTCTAACGGTTTGGCTCAGTGGATAGAGGGTTGGCCTGGGATAGAGCAGTGGCCTGTGGTCTGAAGAGTCCCAGGTTCGATTCCGGTCAAGGGTATGTACCTTGGTTGTGGGCACATCCCCAGTAGGGAGTGTGCAGGAGGCAGCTGATCGATGTTCTCATCGATGCTTCTAACTCTCTATCCCTCTCTCTTCCTCTCTGTAAAAAATCAATAAAATATATTTAGGGGAAAAAAAAAGTATGGCCCTAGCTGGTTTGGCTGAGTGGAGAGAGTGTTGGCCTTCGGACTGAAGGGTCCCAAGTTCAATTCCAGTCAAGGGCACATCCCCAGGTTTCCGGCTCCATCCCCAGCAGGGGAGGTGCAGAAGGCAGCTGATCAATGATTCTCATCTTTGATGTTTCTATCTCTCTCTCCCTCTACGAAACATATATATATACATACACACACACACACACACACACAATGTATGAACCGCATGTGGATCGGGATTCAAACTGTTAAAAAGAATTGAGACAATCAAGATTTTAACACTGGTTGGATATATGAAGGTAATAAGGAATTTCGGGATACTGGTATTTGTGTTTATCTTTTTAAGAGGATGTATATAGATACACATACTGAAATATTTAACAGTTAAAACAAATGGCATCTGGGTTTGGGGCTACAGATACAGCAAGATTAGCTATGAGTTAACAGTTGAAGCTAGATGAGGGTAAAGAGAGACTTACACTATTCTCTGTGTATGTGAGAGATGAACTAAACATGTAAAAATAAAGTCCACTTAAGCTCTAGGTTTCACATAATAAAATGTCTTTTTAAAATTAACTGCCAAACCCTGGCTGGTTGCTCAGTGGTTAGAGCGTCCACCAACCACGAAGGGTCCGGGGTTTGATTCCCAGTCAAGGGCACATGCCTGTGTTGCAGGTTCCATGTGGGGAGGCAAACAATCCGTGTGTGTGTGTCTCTCTCTCATCTCTCCCTCTCTCCCTCTCTCCCTCTCTCTCTTTCACCCTCCGTCCCTCCCTTCTTCCCTTTCACTCTCCTTGAAAATCAATGGGGGGGGGGGGGGGGCGGATCCTCAGGTAAGGATTAACAAAAAAATTAAATTAGCCTAGTTAGGTGTTTTCTGCTTCAATACAATGACTACTTGAAATAACTAGAAACTAACCATCATCTGAACAAACAGCCTTGGCGGCACAATCAGTAAAACAAAATACCACCAAACAAAACCCAAGCCGTAGGAGGCAGCGTCAGAGTTACAGGAGAAAAGGGCCGGCCTGTAACTCACATTCTAAAAGGAAACTCGCCTGCGTGTTGGAAACGGGGCGAATGCAGACGCACGTCGTTCAGGAGCCTCTGAACCCAAAACCTCCACAAACCCCACCACCACCCGCCGCAGCCACACCGACTCCGAGGCGCCTTCCCCCGGCCCGAGCCCGCCGCTTCCGCACCGACAACCTGACTGCTCTCGTCCTTCCCGTCGCCAGAACCAGCGGGGGGATTCAGATTTGGGATTTTAAAAAATAAAGCAGAGAAACAACAATACTGGGCACATCGCTGGCGTTTGCGGGACCTGCAGCAATTCCCCGCGGGCCCGGCGCGTCCCGCTCTGGAGCGGGCTGAGCCCCCTCGAGGCTCCGTCCACCCGCCCGTCACCGGGGCCCGCGGACCTGCGCCGAGGAGACGCCGGGGCCTCCCGGCAGCCGGCTTCCCGCCTCCACTGAGATCTCAGTCCTTTCCACACGCGGAACCCCCTTTCTGCACAGGCCCGCGGCTCGGGGGGGCCCCAGCCAGGCTCGCGGCCGCGGGGACCGGATCATCGCGGTCCGTGTTGGGCCTCGCCGCCCGCCGCGCCAGGTTAGCCAGCCGTTACCCCGGTGGGGAGGCGAGAAGGGGACGCACCGCCTACCTCTTGACCGTCAGGCGAGCAGGAGTAAGTGTGGGGAGAGGCCCCTGCGCCGCCCAGACGCGAAGAAGAGCGAGGACGGCCCGCGGCGCAAAGTTGCAGGACGACCTGTTCCCGTCTGCGGGCCGGACGCGCTTTCCCTCCCCGCAGACGCCGCGGCCGCCAGCCTCCGGGCACCGAGGGGCGGGCCCAGCGGGCGGGCCGGAGCCGCCTCCTCTTCACGGACCCCGGCCCCACCGCGCAGCCCGGAAACCGGGACCCGCGCGCCCCCACCGCCGCCCTCGTGCAAAAGGCTTGCAGAGCGTCGGCTCCGCACCGGTCCAGGCCGACGGCCGAAGGGCGGAACCCTTCCGAGGGCGGCCCCGCGGCCCCACCACCGCCCCCGCCCTCTGCGCTGCCCCCGCCCGCTCGGCAGGCTGCAGGCCCCGCCGCCCGGCCTCACCTCAGGGACGAAACACGGGCAGCGCGCGGAACCTCAAGTCCGAGTGCGGCCGCCGCCCGTCGCCTCCGGCTCCAGCTCCGGCTCGGGCTCCGCCCCTTGCCCGCCGCGCGCACCCGGCCCGCCCGGCCTCTCCGCCCCCTCAGCTCAGCGCAGCCCTGGCCACTCGGGCTGGGTGCGGCTAGAGGCGCTGCGGCCCAACAACGCGCCTCCCCATAGGCCCGGCCCGCGACGCACCGCTAATCAACGCGCCCTGCGATTGGCTGTCCGCGTGCGGGAGGACGCGGAAGGGTGGGTCCTTGTTGACATGGGGCGGGGCTTCCTCCGGAGTTCGCGGGGACTGGCCTCGGCTCGGCCCCGCCCTTCCCGCCGACCGCGGTGGTCCGGCGCCACTGTCGCGGTTGCAGCGCGGGGGCGGGGGCGCGGCCCCTCAGGCCTCGTCGCTGGAAGAGGCCGCGCCGGCTGTGCCAGCGGCGCCCGCTCCCCGGAGCCGCTCGTCCCCTCGGTGTCTGTCGCCGGTCAGTCTCCGGTGGATGCCTCCTGCGCCCAGGCTCACGGACGCGCAGCTCGGCCTTCTCCACGCCCGTCAGCCCCGGGCGCTGTCCCAGCGGGGCCAGTGCGGGCCCGGTCGGGCCTCTGCCTGCTCGGCTCGCCCGCTCCTGCAGCAGAGGACCCTGCCCCGTGCGCGGCCCCTGCTGGGCTCCGTCCTCAGCCCAGCGGGCGGGAGTCCGCAGGCAGACGGGGCCGACCCGACCGGCAGCCAGGGTGCGGTCGGCACCTCGGGCCTGCGGACGCTGATAAGGCCCCACCGACGGGGCGGCTGCCTGGCGCCGGGGCCTGGCCCGCGGAAGCTGGAGGAAGGAGCACCTCCTCGACCAGGCCACCGGCCGTGACCTGGAGGCTGGCCCAGCGGGACCAGCACCTCCCCGCCCTGTCCTCCCTGGTCTCCTCTGAGCCCCAAAGGCCCGGGAGACAGACCGGCAGAGCTTCCTGCTCCCTTACTACCCGTGGAAAGCTGAGGCCCAGGGCTGGGCGGCGAGCAGGGAGGAGCCCAGGCCTCCCTCCCAGCAGGGCCCCGGCTGTGGCCACGGGAGGATCGGGGACCATCTCTGGGGATAGTGACGGCCTCCACACCTCTGTCCCGCTCACATCTGCCACTGGCACCCGCAACAAGGCCGGGCCACAGGGCTGTCAGGGGGGCTTGCTGGAGGGAAGGAGGGAGGCGTCCAAGACCATGGAGCACGTTCAGTGGAGACAGAAGGTACAGAAAGGACCAAATCGTCGCCGAGACGTCAAGCACAGCCTAGGAATGCAGTCTAACTGATGTACGGGTCCGATCGGGGTGCGATTTATCAGGACCGTCGCTTCAAAAGTTCCATGAATATCTGCCGGGAGCCAGTCCATCCTTGCTGTTTCGAGGGACCCGGCAAATATCTAATCGCTGTGTTGTACACCTGAAACGAAAAACTGTATGTCCACTGTAATCGGGAAACATTTTCATTTTTTAAGGCCAAATCAAACTTCTAAAGGTGAAAAATATAATGTCAGAACTGAAAAACACACTGGCTGAACAGCGGGTTAGACACAGCAGAAGAAAGTGAAGTAGGAGACGGACAAGGAACTGAGCCCTGACCGGTGTGGCTCAGTGGATAGAGCCCCGGCCTGCGGACTGAAGGGTCCCGGGTTCGATTCCGGTCAGGGGCATGTTCCTTGGTTGCCGGCACATCCCCAGTAAGGGGTGTGCAGGAGGCAGCTGATCGATGTTTCTAACTATTCCTTCTCCCTTCCTCTCTGTAAAAAATCAGTAAGATATATTTTAAAAAAAACAAAACTAAGTGAAACATGGAGAGGAGTCTAGAAAAGAAGGAACAGAGCTCCAGTGAGCAGTAGCACAACTTCAAGAGGCCAAATATGTGTGTAATCAGAGCCCCTGACCAGGGAGGTGGAGCTGGGAGGAGGACAGATACACTATTTGAAGACATAATGGCTGACGGTGTTTTGTTTTCAAATTTGATGGAAACCACAAATCCAAGTAACTGGTTTGCTACTGGGCTCTGGTACAAATGGAATGTTTCTATGGGCCATCGAAAGTGCCTGAGGCCAGAACTGCCATCACTGGGTTCCGTCAGACCACCGCCACATCACGTCGGTAGGTACACCATCTGGAAGTGGTAGATCCAGGACTGAGTTCAGGCAGGTGCCGAGGTAGGTGGTCCAGTCCCACGTCACCTGCCACCATCGCACCAGTATCTGTCGACACCTGTGGTCTCGGGGATTCCCCGTGGCCGTGACTCCATCGGACAGTGTTTTCCGGGCGGAGGGACGGGCCTGCCAGCACCGAGGCAGAGCTGGATACAGAGGAGTCGCCCTCGAGGGGATCACACTGCTGGGTCACGGCCAGAGACAGGGGGTGGCCCTCCCCGTGCTGGTCTTCACACAGCTTTGATTCAAATGCCAGCTGTGCCCCGTACTCCTGTGTGGCCTGTGTCCTCTGGGTCTCCCCTCCACAGGCCAGGCTCAGCGAGCACTGAGCAAGAAGCCCAGGCCCCAGGCCTTTCCCTCCCTGGGCCCTGTCAAAGCCACGCATTCCCGGTAAGGTACCGGAAGCCCTTCCTTGGACCAGCAGGGGGCGCCCACACAACGTGACCCAGAGGAAGGGGGAGACTAGGGGCTACTAAAGACTTGCGTTGTGAGGTCTCTTCTGGTTCTAAAAACATCTTTTTATAATAAAAAGTCTCTAATAACAGAAGATGTAGAAGTTCACTGCACTCTCTCACCAACTGCAGGAAAAGTAAAACCAGGTCAGCCCTGGGCTTGGAGAAGCTTCCCAGCCCAGGAATGCACCCCATCTCTGAGCATACCGGGATCTGGGCACCCCGCAGTAACTATCAGAGGCCATGAGGGGTGGTGGGGAGCTAGCCAGAGCGTAGGGTCTGGGCTGAGAAGTGGAAGGAGATCACGTAGCAGAGTTGGAACTTGAATGCAGACCTTGGCCTCAGTTTCTCACCTGTAAAATGGAACAGCAGCTGCTCTCCAAGCAAACTAGACTGTCAAGGGCCCACTCAGCGCCTCGAGCACAGGAAGTGCTCAGTAGGTGGTACAGAACATTCAGGGCAGGTCTCAGGAGGGAGCAGCGCCGTCTGCCTGGCTTCCTGCTGGAGGACCATGCCTGGGATCCCGTCCGCCACCCCCAGCGCACACACTCTTGCAACTGAGGCCCTGGGCCCAGGAATGGTTCACAAAGAGGCAGACCCAGGGCCTGGGAGGAGCGAGGCCAGGCCAGACTCTGGGCTGGGCCTTAGGCAACCACATGCCTCATCTGTCCTGGCAGCTAGAAGTTCCTATCACGTGGCTCTGGGCCCCAGAACCTCAAAAATCTTCCAGCTCAGGGTCTTCAAATGCTTCACCCACTGAGCTGTCTCTGAAGTGGCTGCATGTTAGCTAAAAGCTATAGCGTCCTGGGTCCTGCCTCACATCACCAGCGTGGAGGACCCTGGGCACCGGCTGGAAGCTGTTCTCTGACCCAAGTCCCCATTTTAAAGTTTTACACATGCCGGGACGGTGTGGCTCAGTGGTTGAACATCAGCCCCTGAACCAGGAAGTCATGGTTCAATTCCCAGTTAGGGCATATGCCCAGTTTGTGGGCTTGATCCCCAGTGGGGAGTGTGCAGGAGGCAGCTGATCAGTGTTTCATCAATGTTTCTATCTCTCTCTCCATTCCTCTCTCTAAAATCAATAAAAACATATTTTAAAAAATTTTACAGGAAGGGAAGTTGCACAGTGGAGAACGATGTGCCTCACTGGGTTCCCCAAACAAGTGCAGGGCAGAGGGCAGAGGGCAGAGAGCTGTGACTGCAGGCACAAGGATTGGTTTTCCAGAGCCGCTGCAGGACATGGGGAGCTCCCTGTCCCAGTGCCCCAGACTCGATGGTAGCTGCACCGAGCCTCACCCAAGGAGGCCTTAGAGGAAACATCTGCAGACAGCGGGGACACTTGGTTCCTGGAAGCAGATGGCCACTGTCGCCCCTGCACCCCCCAGCACCCCGGGGGCGCGGCCTCCCGCATCAGCTGACCAGCTTCATCTCTTCCCCTTCTCCAGCTGACCACCCCACCCCAGAACACGTCCAGGGGGGAGGAGTCCAAAGAGCCTCCTCCAGGGGACAGCAGGCACAGTGCTGTTTGGGGTCTGGGCTTTACACAGCGAATGCCTTTCCCCAGCTTAGAGTGCAGCGAGGATTAGATGATCCCGGGGTCCCTGCCAGCCCTGACCCCCAGCTGAGGCCGCTTCCCACACAAATAGATCCCGCCTGGCTGACCTGCCAGGGAGGCGCCGGCTGGAATTCCACGGCAGGAAGCAAGGGATGGATCAGGACTGGTCCATCCCCGTGTGGCCTGGAGGACTCGGCCATCCGGGTGCCACCACCCCCACCTACCCTTGGCCCACTCAGGGCCCTCTCTGCCTGCCCCTCTGTCTGTAGCGGTCACTTCCCCCTACAGGTCTTCCTGGAGCCCCAGCAGAGCCTGGCACGCGGAGGGTGGGCGGAGGCGGACTGCTGCGCTCGCGTTCCAACCACTGCTGCCTGCGAACTGGGCAGGTCATTTAGCACCTGCGCAGGGAGGTGGGGAGACCCCCTGGATGTCGGTGTGCGTCCTCAATAGGGCCGGCCACCCCTCCTTGCCAATGAAGCCGGCCACCACGGCAAAGGTCACCTGTGCTTTATTGTGCAGCAAAGGCCCCTGCGGGAGCCGAGTCTTAGCGTTCCTGGGGGTCCTGGGGCCAGCCCCTGCCCCCACCCAAATGCCCGAGCCCTGCCCAGTGCAGGGTGCGCGCGCTGGGGGGACCGGAATTCCTGTCCATGAAGCGCAGGCAGGGCTTCGTCCAGGGACCCCGGGTTCCGGGAAGTGCGGCGGGGCTGCCGGGGTGGGATACGAGCCTCCAGCCCGCTAGGGACTCTGCCTGCTGGGTGGGGCCTGGCCTGGCAGATTCCACAAGATGTCTGTTGGGGAGGCCTCCATCCAGAGCTCCTCATCCCAGACCGGCCAGTCTCATCGGCATGAGGAGGTCGCCCATGGTCGCCTCTGCCAGCAGCTCTGGCGCAGACGTCACCTGGGCCCAGCGTAGCCGTAGGGGTGCTGCAGCAGCAGGCTCTGGTGGCTGGGCAGCAGGTGGGTGTGGTAGTGCTCCACCAGGCTGCCCACGCTCACAAACAGGACCTCGCCCTCCAGGTAGAATTTAGAGTCCTGGGGGCAGGAGAGCGAGGTCAGGGGGGGCTGGGCCAGCTCTCCCCCCTTGCAAAACGGGGCGGCCAGCCCTAAGGACAGGCCTGCTCCCGCTGCCTGTTCCCTCCCCTCCATGCCTGCCCCCCTTCCCCACCTCCCCCACTCCCCCCCCCCCGCCCCCCCAGCTTCACCAGGGGATCAGGCCAGGCTGTAGATAAGCCGGGTCAGGAGCTGGTCACCCCACCCCCTCCAGCTCACTGAGGACACAGCTAGGCCAGGGAAGGGGGAGGCTGAGGCAGTGGGGGAGGGATGGTGCCGGCAGGTGCCAGCCTCAGCCTGCCCCCTGCCCACACTCTAGGGCAGGGGTGGGGAACCTGGTTTCTGCCCAGGGCCATGTGGATATTTATAACATCATTCGAGGGCGATACAAAACTATCAACTTACACCTCAGCCTCTCTATTTGGTCAGACATGTAATTAACTCGCCGCTCACCATCCAGTTTGGCAGGGCCTTATACAGCGGGCCGGTGGATGTGGCCCATCCCTGCTCTTTGGGGAGATGTCCGGCCCCCAGCCACACCCCTTCCCGCCCAGGGCCCTCAGCCAGCGCGTACCTTCTCAAAGATGCGGTAGTTCCTCACTTTGCTGGAGGCTTCATCCCACACGACCAAGACCTTGGGGAGAAAAGCAGCAGGCAGGGCTGAGGGCGGCTCTGACCGGGAGAGCCGGCCTCGGGGACCCAGGGTGAGCTGCACCAAGGCCGAGTCCCCTGGCCTCAGGGACGACATGGGGAGGGCACCCTGCCCTCAGATGGCCTCTGATGAGACTCAAGGGTGCCTGGCCCACCAGGGCCATCTCTGATACACATGGGGAAACTGAGGCTCCGTGAGGTCACACAAGTCGCCCCTGGAGGGGCAGAGGCCGAGCTGGCAGACGACCTGCCGTTGGCCCTGCTCCAAGCAGCCTCCCCTTCAGAGTGCAGGACCCCCCATCGGAGTCCAGAGCCCCAGCCCCCCTTCCCGTCTCCGGCTACCCTTCCCCCAATCTGCAGATGGTATCTACTTCCTGAGAATAAATGGGGCGGGGGCTGCCAGGCAGAGACCCCAAGGATGGCACTGGGTGGAGGGGCAGAGGCTCATGGGAACGTGGCCTGTTGCCTGGTGTGCCCGCCTGCAGCCCGACGTGGGGAGGGCCAGCAGACCCAGCACGATGCAGCCAGCCCCAGGGCGTTGGCTTTGGCAGGCTGGCCACCAGACTCCTCCGTGGCACCTACCTTCCCGGACTTGGTGGAGGAGTTGCGGATGCAGTAGAGTCCGTCCTGGGGCTCTCCCCGCGGGCTCGTGGCTTTGAACAGCCTGAAAATTAAGTCAGCAGGTGACCCATCTTCAGACGGCTCCCTGGGGACCCTCCAGCCCCAGGACCATGTGAGTCTGTCCTCTCTCTCCTGCAGCTCAGGCGCCATGAGCAGTGGGTGCAGGGAACAGTGGGTGAAGGGAGCAGTGGGTGCAGGGAACAGTGGGTGAAGGGAGCAGTGGGTGCAGGGAGCAGTGGGTGCAGGAAGCAGTGGGTGCAGGGAGCAGTGGGTGAAGGGAGCAGTGGGTGAAGGGGGCAGTGGGTGCAGGGAACAGTGGGTGAAGGGAGCAGTGGGTGCAGGGAGCAGTGGGTGCAGGGGGCAGTGGGTGAAGGGGCAGTGGGTGCAGGGGGCAGTGGTTGAAGGGGGCAGTGGGTGCAGGGGGCAGTGGGTGAAGGGGGCAGTGGGTGCAGGGAGCAGTGGGTAAAGGGGGCAGTGGGTGCAGGGAGCAGTGGGTAAAGGGGGCAGTGGGTGCAGGGAGCCGTGGGTGCAGGGAGCAGTGGGTGAAGGGGGCAGTGGGTGCAGGGAACAGTGGGTGAAGGGAGCAGTGGGTGCAGGGAGCAGTGGGTGCAGGGAGCAGTGGGTGAAGGGAGCAGTGGGTAAAGGGGGCAGTGGGTGCAGAGGGCAGTGGGTGCAGGGGGCAGTGGGTGAAGGGAGCAGTGGGTAAAGGGGGCAGTGGGTGCAGGGGGCAGTGGGTGCAGGGAGCCGTGGGTGCAGGGAGCAGTGGGTGAAGGGGGCAGTGGGTGCAGGGAACAGTGGGTGAAGGGAGCAGTGGGTGCAGGGAGCAGTGGGTGCAGGGAGCAGTGGGTGAAGGGAGCAGTGGGTAAAGGGGGCAGTGGGTGCAGAGGGCAGTGGGTGCAGGGGGCAGTGGGTGCAGGGAGCAGTGGGTGAAGGGGGCAGTGGGTGCAGGGGGCAGTGGGTAAAGGGAGCAGTGGGTGCAGGGAGCCGTGGGTGCAGGGAGCCGTGGGTGAAGGGAGCAGTGGGTGCAGGGAGCCGTGGGTGAAGGAAGCAGTGGGTGAAGGGAGCCGTGGGTGCAGGGAGCAGTGGGTGCAGGGAGCCGTGGGTGCAGGGAGCCGTGGGTGCAGGGGGCAGTGGGTGCAGGGAGCCGTGGGTGCAGGGAGCCGTGGGTGCAGGGAGCCGTGGGTGAAGGGAGCCGTGGGTGCAGGGAGCAGTGGGTGCAGGGAGCCGTGGGTGAAGGGAGCAGTGGGTGCAGGGAGCCGTGGGTGCAGGGAGCAGTGGGTGCAGGGAGCCGTGGGTGCAGGGAGCAGTGGGTGCAGGGAGCCGTGGGTGCAGGGGGCAGTGGGTGCAGGGAGCAGTGGGTGCAGGGAGCAGTGGGTGCAGGGAGCAGTGGGTGCAGGGAGCAGTGGGTGCAGGGAGCCGTGGGTGCAGGGGGCAGTGGGTGCAGGGAGCAGTGGGTGCAGGGAGCCGTGGGTGCAGGAGCAGTGGGTGCAGGGAGCCGTGGGTGCAGGGAGCCGTGGGTGCAGGGAGCAGTGGGTGCAGGGAGCAGTGGGTGAAGAGAGCAGTGGGTGCAGGGAGCAGTGGGTGCATGGAGCCGTGGGTGCAGAGACGAGTGGGTGCTGTGAACCCCACCCCCATCATAATCTGGGGCCCCAACCCTCCTTCCTGCCTCAAGCCAGTGCTGGGGGGCGGCGCTGAAAGCAGTGGGTGCCCAGAGCAGTGGGTACGAGAGGGCCAGCCCAGGGTGTAGGCAGAACTGAGCTATGGCATCTGCTGCTTCGCCAGGTTTCCGGCGACACTCGGCTGAGCACTTGTGCCAGCCATGACCCAGCACCGCGGTGAGGAGGGGACAGAAAGACGGGGACCCTCGTGTCTATAAAAACAAGGCCTGGAGAGAAGGGCTCCCACTCACCTCTCCACCTCGTAGGACTCAGTGGTGTTGACGAAGACTGAGCTGGGCAGGGGCACCTGGAGGGAGGGCAGCGTGGTCAGCTGCATGGTCTGTATGCGCTTGTGGCCAGCAACCCCGACCCCCACCGGCTGCCAGCCTGTGCCGAGATCCTAGGCTCTGCACCAGGTCTGTCCCCTCAGCGCCAGGGTCTGGGGGCTCCTGGCTGGGATGGCCATGGGGGACTCCGCCCGCAGCCCTCCTGCAGCGCCCCCCTCGCCAGCTCGAGCTCTCCACGCTGCTTGCCTTTTCATAGTCTTCATCCGAGTCCTTCCCAGAGTCCTTCCCACCCGGGTCGTCCTGCGAGGCGTCAGCCTGCGAGGGTAGGCGGGGCTTTTCGAAGGAGAAGCTCCTGAAACTCTGCCCGTCAGGGGGTGACCGCCTGGGAGGGGAGCAAGAAGGTCACGTCCATCACACGGGGCAGCCCCTCAGCTCCCCTCCACACCAGCCTGTGCACCGGGGGACCGCGCCAGCTCGGCCTGGGCACACGGGGTCTGGCTGCCACAGCCGGTGGCGAAGGCCCACGGCCACAGCGTCTGCGAGGCCGTGACGGATCTGAGGCAGCAGGAATCGCGGGACCTGGAGGCCCCAGCCGGGGTCAGGCTGCCGGTGACGCTGCCGGGCTGCTGGGGCCTGAGCTCGGACGCTGTGGAGCCGCCAGGGCGGATGGGTGGCGGGTGTGAAGGGGCTGGGCCACGTGTGGCCCGGTGGCTCGGGGAGAATTAAGGAGCCCGCACAGGACCGGCTGCTGAATTGTGGGTGAGGCTGTGCCGTGAGTCCACCCTGGTCCCAGGCCCAGGTCCCAGGCTCCGCAGTGACAGTCTACACCACTGTGGCCCCTCGTGAAACAAGTGAGGCGGCAAGGGGTCCTCCCAGGCCCCTCCCACAAGAGCAGGCCTAACAAGAGCTCTGGGGCCCTGGCCGGGTGGCCCATTAGTTGGAACATCATCCCAGACACCAACAGGTCTCAGGTTCGATTCCCGGTGGGTGCAGGAGGCAACGATGGATGTTTCTCTCTCCCAATCTCCTTCTCCCTTCCTCTCTCTTAAATCATTAAAAATAATAATAAAAATAAACACCACCTCAGATAAGGATAAAAAAGAGAGAGTCCTGGGGGGAAAGGTGCCGTGGCCGAGGGCTGGGGGCCCGGTTTAGCGCACCCACTCGAGGTGCACCCTGTGGCCCCCAGGGCCTTCACTGCTGGGGGTCCCGGCATCTCTGACCACATGCTGCCGACACTGGAAGTGGGGGCGCCGGGGCTCCTGGCACTGCCCAGCAATAGAGCAGAAAGCACTTCGAGCAGGCCTGGGGGAGTCACTGCAACGCTCCACATTCCGGCAAGTTCCCACTCGGGGAGGGTGCCGAGGCAGCCCCCATGGCTCCAGAGCCAGGGGCACACCCAGGGCCCCAGGAAGGGTCCCAAAGGCTCACAGCCCGAGCTCTGTCCCCCAGGCCTCTCCCAGGGCAGGCGGCCACCCTGCCAGCCCCTCCTGACCCCAAAGGCCCTGGCCAGGCATGGCAGGGGCTCAGAAAGCCTATCCCCACGGCCCCCCTCACCCACTGTGCCCCGAGGCAGTCCTGAGCCCCAGGCCCACCACACCTGGGCTGACATGCCCCACGTCAAGGTGGGACATCCTCGGACCCGGGTCAGGTGCAGAGGCAGAGCCTTCCTCCCCGGGGCAGGGCCGACCCCCCACCGTGGGGAGGAGGCTGGGTGCAGGGAGAGCTGGCAGCACTCACTGGAGGTGAGGCAGGGGCGGCTTCTCTGGCCTGGGCAGGACCGTGGCCCGCGCTGGGGGCTCGGGCACGGGCAGCTTCAGGGCAGGAGGCCTGGGTGCCACGGGGGGCACAAAGAGTCCAGGCCGGGCCGTCTCCCTCAGGGGCTCCTCCTCCACTGCCATCAGGAACTTGGGCTTGTTGGCTGGCACGGGTGGGGGCTCGGGCGTGGGCGGCCCGCGGGGCGACAGGTGGAAGGACTTGAGTTTATCGCAGCTCCTGGAGGTGGCCGCAGCCAAGCCAGCAGAGCCGGCTCCGGGGCTGGGGACGCGGGGCTCCGGGCTGGGGCTCTCAGGGAAGCACGGGGGTCGGCGGAGGGCAGGCAAGCTGGGCACGTTGCCCACCGGGGGGTCACTCATCCTCCGGGAGGCAGCCGGCACCCTGGGGCCAGGCTCGGGCCACCTCGGGCCCAGCAGGTCCCTCTTGAAGTCCTCGGGAGCCGCGCCCACCTCGGGGAGGCGGCGCTTCGGGGGCGGGGGTGGCAGCAGAGGGCCCGGGCCCCTGGAGGTGAAGGAGTGGGCCCGGGGCATGTCGGAGAAGGCGGGCTTCCTGGGCACGGGCACGGGAGGCGGGGGGTAGGCTGGCGGGTGCGTCAGGGCATCTGCGGAGCAAAGAGACCCAGTGGGTGAGCAAGTCTCACTGGTGAGGCGGGACCAGCCGCCCCTGCTGGTACCAGGTGCCGGGTCAAGTGCGTGTGCCCCCTGGAGGCGAGGACTCAGCACTTCGCAGGCAGCCTTCCTCTGGGGTCTGACCCAGCCTGCGGCCCTGGTCACCTCCCCACCCCCCGCGCGCGGCAGCCTGAGCTGGCTCCCTGAGACCCAGATGTCACACCAGGAGCCATGGGGTGCCAGTGGCGAAGGGGGAGAGGCGGCAAGGAGGACGCGGAGGAGCTGGCCTCGCTGAGGCCGGATTCCCACCAGGGAGGGGCGGGGCGGCTCGGAGGAAGACGAGGGCAGTGCAAGGTGCCCGGAACACACAGGCGACACTGACGAGCTGAGGGGCACAGAGTCCAGGCTGGAGGTGTCGACAACCCAGCGAGGACATCGGCTGTGGCCCAGGTGGGACAGGAGGAGTGCACCGGGCCGAGCCCTGGAGGCCCTCGGACTTGGGGACAGCACTGGGGCTGCCGCAGGTGGGAGGGGCTTGGGAGGGCCTGTCTGGCCTTGAGCTCCATGGAGCAGAGCGCTGCCAGCCACAGCGGGTGGACCAGCCTGGCTCCCCCCGCAAGTGGGCCCGCCCCTGAGCGGCAGGCAGCGGCAGCCAGAGCACTCGCCTCCTCTGCTCCCGTCCCTCTGACAGGCCGGCCGTTGTGGAAAGACCGAGGCCCTCTGCCCAAAGCACCCCCAGCCCACCTCTGGCCACCTACCCTCGGACTTCCCGGGCTCGGGGGAGTCGGGCTCCAAGTACGAGTCGTCCTCGTCGTCCTGCTCATAGTCTGTGGGCAGATGGGGGTCAGGGCAGGGCGGCCCAGGCTAGCTGCCCCGGGGCGGAGGGCGAGGCTCAGAGCACTGCTGTCGGGGAGGCCTGGGCAGGGCTGAGGGCAGGACGGGCGGGCTGGGGAGCCACAGGGACAGAGCAGGCAGGACAGCCAGGGCTGCCTCCCCCGGGCAGCAGCCAGGTCCGGGTGTGGAGCAGGATCGGGGAGCACGCCGAGACGCCCTCACCTTCGTTGTCTGTGGGGTATGGAGAGAGGCTGATGTCCACAGGCCGCTCAATGGCTCCGTAGAAACTGTCTGTGTCCGAGCTGGAGTCGCTGGGGTCGGGGGAGGAAGGGTGGCAGTGAGCACAGGGCAGCGTTCCCTGCACTCAGACAGACACACTGCAAACATGTGGACACACAGACACAACAAACACAGGCACGCGCACACACCACACACTGATGTGGGCATATGCACAGATAAACACAGGACACGGACACAGGACACAGACCTAGAACACAGGTGAACACAAATGAGGACAGACAGGCACGCAGACACACAGACACGCTCCATCGAGCGCACAAGGACCAGCATGGAGACGAGGCTGTGGTGCCTCCCCCGCCCCATGGTTTCTGCCACAAGTGTGGCCCCGAATGGCCAGAGGCTGCCCCACCTCAGGGCACCGACCCCCCTGCTCCCGCCCTGGAGGCTGTGGTCTCTAGGCTGGCCTACCGCAGGGCACCTACCGCAGGGCACTGGGCCTACCGCAGGGACCGGGCCTACCACAAGGCACCGGGCCTACCGCAGGGCACCGGGCCTACCACAAGGCACCGGGCCTACCGCAGGGCACCTACCGCAGGGCACCTACCGCAGGGCACCTACCACAGGGCACCTACCACAGGGCACCGGGCCTACCGCAGGGCACCTACCACAGGGCACCTACCACAGGGCACCTACCGCAGGGCACCGGGCCTACCGCAGGGCACCTACCACAGGGCACCAAGCCTACCACAGGCACCTACCACAGGGCACCGTGCCTATTGCAGGGCACCTACCACAGGGCATCAAGCCTACCGCAGGGCACCTACTGCAGGGCACCGGGCCTACCGCAGGACCAGGCTGGAGCTGAGGGCTGGAGCTCCAGGGCAGGCAGGGACCTGCAGGGTGGCCCTGGGGGTGCCGGGCTTCCTCTGGGCCCCAGTGGCCTCATCTATGAAAAGACGGAGGGCTCTCTTCTGCCCAAGAGCTCCTGCTGCTGGCCGCCTCAGTGAGGTCGCCGAGACCCACGTGGGCTGAGTGGTATCCCAGGGACTCCGTCCGGAGCCGGCCGGACGGACACAGAGGGGCAGCACCCAAAGCTCTGGCTGCTGCCAATGCCGGGCCTCCAGTGGGCAGCTGAAAGCATGTGACCCCCAAGGAGGAACTACCAACAGGGCACACACGCATGCGCTCACAGGATTACAGACGTGGGGACGGGGCGTGGGCACGGGGTGGAGCCGAGCGCACCTGGCGTCCAGCGGCAGGTCCTTCTTCTCGTGGAGGTGTCCGATCTCCCGGCGCAGCAAGGCCATCCAGCTCTGTGGGGCAGCGGGGCCCAGTGGGCATGTGCTGCCCAGGGCACGGCCTCCTCCCTCAGGCCCTGCTGTGCCCACCAAGGTCGGGAGGCCCCTCCGCCCATGCAGGGCTCCTCCTGAGGGCAGGTCCTGGGCATGCGGTGCCGGTCGCTGGGTGTGAGGACGGGCACTAAGGGCGGCCCCTGCAGCTGCCCATGGCTAATCCCGCCCCAGGCCTGTCACCTTGCGCTCGTCCTCAGAGGAAGCGGAGAAGAACCAGGTGCGGTGCTTCTTGCTGATGTGGATGATCTTGAAGGGGAAGACGTTGTTGGACGTGGTCTCCTCGGCTGCCCGCATCACCCTGAGGGCACAGCCAGTGGTCACCCCCTGTCCAAGCCCACGGGGTGGCCCTGCCCGGGACGGGTCTGGCACCCACACCGGCTCCAGCGGACAGATGTGCATGGTCGGGCGAAGGCTAGCGGCTCCAGGCAGAAGTGAGTCTGGAGAAGAAAGCGTCCCTACCCAGGCGACCCCAGAGCGGCCACCGGGCCCTGGCGCCCCCGCTGCGGCAGCGCTCCAGCCCACGTGCGGCTGGGCTGGCGCTGGGGCAAGGCTCCCCGTGAGGCTGTGGCTGGGTGTGAGCCGGGGTGAGTCGCTGCCCGAGGTCTCCGTCCCCCCAGTGAAACCATGGGCCTCGCGGTTCCTCAGGCAGGGGCAGGCCCTTCCCCGCTGACACTGCTCCCATCGCCCATGGCCTCTGGGGAGGGTCCCCAGACCGGGGTCTGCCAGGCATGGGCAATGGGCACAGACTGATGCCATGGTGCAGGGCCCTGGTGCCCACTTCACCCTGCCATGCAGGCCCTGAAGCCATGGGGTGGATCCGGATGACACTAATGGGTTGCACACTACAGGATGTCCCGTCCCCCCCACGGGCCCGGGCTGCACACTATACCATGTCCCGTCCCACCCACGGGCCCGGGCTGCACACTATACCATGTCCCGTCCCTCCCACGGGCCCGGGCTGCACACTATACCATGTCCCGTCCCCCCCATGGGCCCGGGCTGCACACTATACCATGTCCCGTCCCACCCACGGGCCCGGGCTGCACACTATACCATGTCCCGTCCCACCCATGTCCCGGGCTGCACACTATACCATGTCCCGTCCCACCCACGGGCCCGGGCTGCACACTACAGCATGTCACCAGCCAGAGTTCTGTTGTGGGGCTGGGGGAGCAGGGTCAGTGGGGAGCAGGTCAGGTGGGAGCAGGGTCAGGAGGAAACCCAGTCAGGGGGAGCAGGGGCACGGGGGAGCAGGTCAGGGGGGAGCAGGTCAGGGGGGAGCAGGTGGGGGAGCAGGGGCAGGGGGAGCTGAGTTGGGGGGAGCAGGGTCGGGGGGAGCAGGTCGGGGGGAGCAGGTAGGAGGGCAGGAGTACGGGGAGCTGAGTTGGGGGAGCAGGTCGGGGGGAGCAGGTGGGGGGGCAGGGGTTGGGGGAAGCCAAGTCAGGGGGAGCAGGGGCACGGGGGAGCAGATCAGGGGGGAGCAGGTCGGGGGGGGCAAAGGCGGGGGAGCTGGGTTGGGGGAGCAGGTGGGGGGCAAGGGCAGGGGAGCGGGTTGGGGGAGCAGGTGGGGGGGCAAGGGCAGGGGAGCTGGGTTGGGGGAGCAGGTGGGGGGCAGGGGTAGGGGGAGCTGAGTTGGGGGGAGCAGGGTCAGTGGGGAGCTGGGTTGGGGGAGCAGGGGGGGCAAGGGCAGGGGAGCGGGTTGGGGAGCAGGTGGAGGGGAAGGGCAGGGGAGCGGGTTGGGGAGCAGGTGGAGGGGAAGGGCAGGGGAGCGGGTTGGGGAGCAGGTGGAGGGGAAGGGCAGGGGAGCTGGGTTGGGGGCAGGTGGGGGGCAGGGGTAGGGGAGCTGGGTTGGGGGTCAGGTGGGGGGCAGGGGCAGGGGAGCTGGGTTGGGGGAGCAGGTGGAGGGGAAGGGCAGGGGAGCTGGGTTGGGGGGCAGGTGGGGGGCAGGGGTAGGGGAGCTGGGTTGGGGGTCAGGTGGGGGGCAGGGGCAGGGGAGCTGGGTTGGGGGAGCAGGTGGGGGGCAGGGGCAGAGGAGCTGGGTTGGGGAGCAGGTGGGGGGCAGGGCCAGGGGAGCTGGGTTGGGGAGCAGGTGGAGGGGAAGGGCAGGGGAGCGGGTTGGGGGTAGGGCCGCAGCAGGCGGGCGCTCACCGGTTGTAGCCGCTGAGGGAGAAGGCGCCCTGCGGGGAGGCGGAGGTGCTGCTCTTGAAGTAGTAGATGCATCGCTTGTGGATGATGACAAAGCGCAGGGGCCCTGTGGGCAGCAGGTGCGGGTGAGCTGGGGGCCACTGGGCAGACCCCACTCTGGGGACCCTCCCCAGGGGCCATGGGCGATTGGACCAGGCTTTGAACCCACGGAATGGAAGGGCAAGGAGCTGGGCTGGCATGCGGGCCCCTCCCCAGGAGTCCAGAATGGGGTCAACCGGGGACACAGTCGTGGGCATGATGGCCGGCCTGGGCAGGGCAGGTGTGGGCACTGGCTGTGCAGACAAGGGCTGTGAGGCTGGCTCCAGGACGGGCAGAGCAGGGCCAGAGGCCTGGGGAGGCCCAGCCGCCTTGCTGGGTGCTGCGGGCTGCCAGAAGGTTCCCTCCAGCCCAGGCTGGCACAGCGGGGGAGGGGCAAAGAGGAGGAGGCACAGAAGCCCTGAGTGTGGCTCCGACCCCAGGCTGAGCAGTCAGTCCCGCTGAAACCCAGCTCTCCGCTGCCCCATCCCAAGCAGCCCCACCGGCCCGGGAGGTCAGTGGCAGCGCGCCCTCGCAGGCACCCTGTCCAAAGACAGCAGGCCAGCGGGTGCCCAGCCTGGGGCACCACAGCCAGGCAGCACTCGGAGGGATGGGCAGGCCCGGGCGCTCTGGGCCCTCAGCGCCTTGACAAGTGGCATCTCTCCTGTCCCAGCTGCGGTCCCAGGGCCCAGCCCCCACTTTCATGCAGCTCGAGAGTCTCGGCTTGGCACGTGCGGTCATTTCAAACCACGGTGACCAACCAACTCCCGGAACACCCACCGGACAGGGGAGGGCTCAGCCTGACCAGCTGGTCGGCACCGTCACCAAGGACCCTAGCTCGGCACCACCTACGCCCCTCCCAGTCCTGCCAGCGGCCACCTCAGGGAGGGAGGGGAACCCTGGCGGCCCCCACAGAAGGAACCGGAGGCTCAGCTCTGTCCCCGCGCCCCCCCACCACGCTCCCCCCACAGGGACTCACATTTGAGCAGCTGCAGCTGGGTGCCGCCCTTCTTGTGCAGGTAGCCGGCCTTGGCCACGCCCCCGGGCATGGTCAGCAGGTTCTGGGCGCCGATGGCCTTCATGGGGACAGGCCAGTGCATCTCCTCGGCCGCCATGAAGCTGCAATGACAGCAGAGATGTCTCAGCCAGGGGTGGGGGCAGCGGGGGCACCAAGGTCCTGAGGCCGCGTGAAGGCTCAGGGCAGGAGGGTGAGAAGGCTGCCTTCTGAAGGCCCAGGCTTCCAGGGGGGACCCCGGAGACAAGGCGCCTGGGCCGCTTGGTCAGCCCCTGGTCCTTCTGGCCACATACCGGGCACCCAGGGACCCTGAGAGCGAAGGGTGCTCTTTCATCGTCACTGGTTCACTCAGCTCTCACCTGCTGAGCTCAAGGCCCCTGGAGGCTGAGGACAGCAGAAGGAATTCAGGAAACCACCAGCCCAGGAAAGTCAGGCCTCAGGCCATAACCACCCAAGGATAAGTCCCAGGTGACAGGAGATTCAGGGAGGGCTCCCAGGAGGAGGTGTTGAGTCATAGCCTGAAGGAGGGAGTTAAAGAGGTTCGGGGCTGGGGCAGGCCCTGGGCACCCTCTACACCAGCTCCGACCTTCAGCAGGGAGGGACATGGCTCAGATGCCCCACCCTCCACTCCTACCTGCCCTTAGCTGGCTTCTGTCTATCCCTTTCTTTTTTTCTTATTATTTTTGTTTTATTATTGATTTTAGAAAGAGAGGAAGGGGGGAGAGAGAGAGAAAGAAATATCCATTTGTTGTTCTACTTACTTATGCATTCATTCATTATTTGATTCTTGTAAATGCCCTGACCAGGGATCTAACCCACAACCTCGGCATATCAGGACCACACTCTAACCAACTGAGCTACCCGGCCAGGGACTGCCCATCCTTTCCTTCGGGCCCTGACCAAGAAGCAGAAAAGCAGGTAGCTACCAGCCCTCCAGCTCCTGGGTCAGGCAACCCAGGTTCCTGCCCTGGCTCGGCCTTCCAGGGGATCCTTAAGCCTCAGTTGCTGGGGCTGTGAAATGGGAGGACAGCGCAGACGCAGCTTGGCACACAGCACACCCTCCCTCCCGCAGGGACCATACAGTACATGGTCCCAGGTGTTATAAAGAGACATGAGCAGAGGAGGACGATGGGCCAGGTACAGACGCGCACCAGGGCGGAAAGCCCAGATGCCTAGCAGGGGGCAGAACTGGGAAAACAGACCCTCGCCCCAGGGTAGCCTTTCCTCCCCTAGCTGACCACTGGTCAGGCTGTGAACCCCTGACCTTTCCCTCCCTCAAGATAACATCTGGGCCTCCGTGTAAGTCAGCTCCAGGCCCAGGAAAGCAGCAAAACCAGACAAGTGACACCGTGGCTGCCTCAGGACCAGTGGCGTTGAGTAATGACCCTGTCCTGGAGCCGACCAATTAGAGGGGACCATGACCTAGAACAGGGGTCCTCAAACTACGGCCCATCCTGCCCGCTGGGTGTTTTGGGGGCTGCTGTGTGCATAGGAATTTGTTCATAGTTTTTTTTTAAACTATAGTCCGGCCCTCCGACGGTCTGAGGGACAGTGAAGTGGCCCCTGTTTAAAAAGTTTGAGGACCCCTGGCCTAGAAAGAGCACCCCTGCAGGGCTGATGGTGTTCCAGCAGCCCCTCCGTGAGACCTCCCCTAAGGTCCCCGCAAGAGGGGACAGCTCAGGGCCACGGAAGTCCCTGAGGACACGCAGGCTGGTTTGTAGTGGTGACTGCACGGCCCACAGGGCTGTTATAACTGTCCCGTGGCCCCGCGGGAACAGGCTTCCCACCCGGCTGGGCGCCCCGGCCCCTGTTCCCGCCCCTGTTCCCGTCGGGGTCAGGCCGGCGCCGCCAGTGTCCAGGCTCCCGGCCGCAGGCTGTCCTCACTCTGGCTCAGCTCCCCTCCCACGCGGCTCCTGCCGCTCCTTCAGGTCCCAGACCCGGTCCTCTGCCGCGGGCACCACGTCCCGCCCCCCACACCCCTCGCCCCCCACCCCGCCCACACCCCCACACCCCCCGCCCCGGGCCCCGTGCGGCTGGAGGAGGCGTGTGCTCAGCAGAGGGGCAGCTGCGGGGCCTTCCCCACCTCAGCCCCGCCCCCCAAAACAAAGCCTCTGCGCCCACGAGGAGCAGCGCCCGGGTGGGGGCTCCCCGCGCCGCCCGGGCTGCCCCGCGGCCTCGATCGCCCACCCCGGCCGGCGGCTGCCTCGCACCCGAAGCCAATCCCTGCGGCCCGGACCCAACAGCCGAGGCTGCGAACAAAGGCGGGCACCGCCCTCCGCGCCCCAGGCCGGGACCAGCCCCGCGGGTGGGAGAGGTGCCCGCGCCCCGCGCCCCGCGCCCCCCGCCCGCCTTTGTTCTCGCAGGAAGCCTGGCCGGGCGGGCTGGGTACTCACGGCGTCCACGCGGCGGGCACGGCCGGCTTCCGGGGGGCGGACCCCCGACCCCGCGCGCACCGACACGGCCCCGGGCTGGGCTTCCCCGCCGCCTCGCCCCAGGCTCTCGGCTCCCGCGGACCCCAGCCCCGCCGCCGGAGACCCGCACCCGCCATGCTGCCACGTCCCGCCCCGCGCCGCCGGCTCCGCCCCGCGGGGAGGGAGAGCTCTCGGGCAGGTGGGGACCCGCCTCCCCCCCCCCCCCCCCGCCCCCCCGCCCCCCCCGCCCCCCCGCCCCCCCCGCACCGCCACCCCGCCCCGCCCCTTCCCCGCCTCCCCCCCGCACCGCCCCCTCGCCCCCCCCGCACCGCCCCCCCGCCTCCCCCCCGCACCGCCCCCCCGCCCCCCCGCACCGCCCCTTCCCCGCCTCCCCTCCGCACCGCCCCCCCCGCCC